CCTTAATAAAAAATCGATACAGGGCTTTAGAATATCGATACAGTATCGGGAAATGAAATATCACGATATTTCAGTGTATCGATATTTTCTTACACCCCTCCTCCCAACAATGAATCGAACCTGAAAACACCTCAGACTGAAGCTTAACTTGTTGTGAAGTGGGCATAAAATCTTTGTGTTGAGGATTGTTTTCTGTAAAATAAGCTTCAGTAAAACACAATAATAATATCTTTGATGAGGTGAAAATGACTAAAACTGTGAAGTACTAATCTGTGTCATGTATAGAACAGAAACATGTAATGTTCTTAGAGAGAACAAGACAAAACTGATTAAAGTTTTGTTATTATCCCATTCATGTAAATCTGCTGGTGACCAGTGGTACTGTTGTCCAAGCTGCAGCGTGTGGTCCTGAGAACCAGTCCTCCTCTAAACGCTGCCATCTCAGATTAGTTGTAAAGTAGAAAATGTTATATAAACCAGTGGCTCTCTAAAAGTGAACCACGCAGGGCTGCAGGTTCTGTGGCTGTCGCTTCAGTTCAGGCTGCAAACGGATCTTCAGCCACAGCATCAAGTACGGTATGAACACGTCCAAAGATTTTTTAAATATTCTTTTGAGTTTTCAGAAAAGCACAACATCCTGTTGGCTTTACTAAACACTGACACCAAAGTCTCGTTCTTTTATACAGTATATCTATATAAATATCTCTTCTCTGACAGGATTTTTATTATTTGCATGACAGATACATTTTTTAAACAATTATTTATCAACAGTGAAAAAACCTAATCGAGTGACTCAGGTCCATAAACACACGCAAGTGTTTTTCAGATTATATGAAATACGGAGATTTATTAATTTCACACTCATGGTAAATAAAATGAGAAGTAACTTCTGTTATTTCTTTACTGTCAAACAGACCACGAGTCGTTGAGCCTTTATAACATATTTCAGTTTGAAATAAGTGTCAAGTTGCTTCTTTTGTTTTTAAAGCATGCTTAATAATTTTAATTCACAAAATTTAATGCCTGCTTTTATGAATACAAATAGAAATTAAATTAGCTTTCATGTTGTCCTGTTGTCTGTTTCCAAAGCAGTTTATAGTCATTAGAGCTGCACAGAATCTCTGATCAGTTGTGGTACAGATATACAAAAAAAGTACTTTCAGTCTGAAACAGCTACTCTTTTCATCCGTTCTCTGAATTGCAGTCACCAAATTATCCTGCAGCAATTAATCCGAAGCAAGTGATATAAACCAGACGTGAGATCTGTGGTCTGTCGAGGTAAAGTCTTGCAGCATTTCTCTGCACTCTTCCTGGACAGGAAGTGCCTCTCCTTTCTTTCTGGCTTCCTGCCTTCACCCCGTGGATTAAAGGGTTACTGGTGTTCACTATATCTTCATCCACTTAATCCAGTTTGCACAGCCATACTTTCAAATCTAATGCTTCTATTGCACCTGGTGCGTTCTGTCCTGTACTGTGCAGGCTGTAAACTTCATGAACCGATCTGCGCGTACGAGGGGCTCAAACAGAGGAAAATAGCCGCCGGTCGTGTTGCTGACAGTGAAGCAGTGGTTACTGAATGCTTGTAAGCAGGGAGGTGGAATACAGTAGTATTTAGGTGACGCAGAGGCCAGAGGATCACATGAACTCTTTGGCTCTGGCTGGTTGTAAATAATTCATGGGCAGGCTGGTGCACAAAGCAGACGGATGTTTGTGCAACTTATTACTGAGTCATCTACAGGAGGGCTGCTCGCTGTAGGATTCGGGGACACCCGGGGTGACCTCGGGGAACTCCAAAGGAACCCCTTGGTTCTTATTGGTGCTTAAGTTAGAATGACTGTAAATGCAGAAAGGATGAATGTTTTTAATGAGGATTATTAGCTACTAAACCCAGTCATATGGAGAACATAGTTACAGCTGCTTAAGAATACGTTGCCAAATCTACAAGGAAGAACTGTTCTCGTCTGATTTAAAGGGGCTTTTAAAGCGGTCTCACGTACACCAGCTCCAGCAGGTTTCCTCTTAGCTTCATGCTAATCATTAAACACCTGCTTAACCATTCTGTCTACAATCCACAAAGTGCACCAGGGTTAACCTCTTTTCCTAAAGGGT